GGGGGGGAGAGAGAGAGATAGAAAAAGTGCAAGTAGTGTTAGTCATCTGATGATAGTACAAACTTATCACGAGTTATAGTGCAAAATAATGGAGGACACGTAGTCGTTTGCGCTAGGCGAGCTGCGCCTCATGTTATCGCAGCTTATTATTCCTAAAAAAAGTAATCTTGAAACATTTTGTCATTGTATTTTCTTTGTTAATAAAATTTGTTATGGCTTAATATTAATTTAATATCACACGTACTAAATTTTGCATTAGTTCCGTTTTATTTCGAATTTTTTCTTTTCGACTTTTCTTTAAAATAATTCTGCTTAGAATTTGCAAGCTGAAAAATTTGCTATTCATTTGGCCTTCTAATTGATTATAATTTTTATTTGTTTATACAAATGCTATATTTCTGCTAAAAAAAACATTTTCAAAATCTCTAAAAATTAATTACCAAAAAAAATATTCGAAAAATGGGATATCTTGTGTGTGGTCTAAATACATAAGATCGAAATGATGAAAGTCAGCATTTTGGACATCATTTTAAATCATTATCTTGTTTTAATAAATTATTTTCCAAGAGTATTTCCATATTACCTAAATATTTTCCGCGTAAAGAGTGAGATACCATATTGGGCTATTCATATGTTTTAGAAAGGCCGCCAGCACGAGACTGATTATCATTCGCACTCAAACAATGCATTTTATTAGCGCTGATAATTTCTAAAAATTTTATCAATAGTGTTTATTTTATTTCTGTCTTGTAAGTTGTAGAAAATAAACTAGGTGTATACATTTTACTGTTGCTTAAGATTTCAAATATAAATATGAACATTGCCAAACAAACTACTATTTCTTCACATTTTACTCACCTGTACCGTCTGTACTATCGCCTAAAACATTTCAAGATAATTACATATTAACGTTTAAGAATACTTTTTATTATTGTATGAAGAAACGTCTCATTAATGTAAAAAAATAAATCTTTTTCTTTATAATTTAAATTCTGATAATATGTTATTATATATCAATATCCAAAATAGATATTGGCGATTATTGATTCTTCTATGAAAGTCATTTGCTACTTATTCCATGCAAATTATAAATTTGGTTTTGATGTAAAGTTGATAAAAGTAGTTTGCCAATTTTTATGCATTGCATCAGTATTATTTAAAGATTTTTGTCCGAGTATATATATTTAAAAGTTCTCCAAGTTATTAAATTTTACAGATATAATCTAATATAAGATTAAAAATAATAATGAAAAATTAATATTTTCGAAAACATTAATATGTATTATTGATATTATATTAATAATAAATTATTTAATTTAATAATTACTATAGCATATTAAGGATAGTATATTAAGGATTAGTAATGATATTAAATGAAGACATTTTTTTCTCTATTTTATGACTTCTTTTATTAGTTATTCTTCTTTATTTAATTATTAATAACATAAAATATTATCCAAGCTTACATTGCGCGAAAATCCCTACATAAATTTTTTTACATATATATCTTGTAACAATTTATTCACAAAATTTCTGATTCTTCTCTAACAAATTCCTAATCTTATTCTATTTAATTAAATGTATAAAAAAATGTATACTATCTTACAATAGTAAAAAATTCATTTTATAACAATTTAGTTTTATCGTTTTAAAACTATCAATTTTATTTAACAAAAATATCACATTAATAATAAGATAAATAGAAAGTATTCATGATAAAATTAGAATTTTTTGTAAATCTTTGCTTGAATTATAATCCTCTTGTAATCGAAATTCAAACGATGAAAGAGCCAAAATAGCACATTTTAATTTACCTACGCACAAATTATTTCGAGATACTACAAGCTAAAAATTACTTTCAATTTATGGCCGTGGTCGCAAAGATTTAATATCCCATTCATTTCTTATCTTTATTATCTGAATTTCCAAATTTGATGATCTTGAGCAGTCTCTTGTACACGAGCTCAAGCGCGTCCTTCGCCCAAATGAAATCAAGATGATTGAACTTAGGAAACGGTACTCTGTACAAGTCCAAAACATTGGGTAACATGCTACGAAGTTTCATCACGTCCTTGAAAAAATAATCACGAGTTATCATGCGTTAACTTATTTTTTTTGTATGACTCTGCGTATAAAGTGTAATTTACAACATTAATGAGAATTAATCCTTAATATAAATGTATGTCTCACGTACGTGTTTCTTCGATGTAAACGCGTTTTCTTGCTACCTACCAGACTACTGACAATCCAATCGTTGTCGGCATAGAATAACGCAATCGGCACGGTAATGTTCGCTAAATTATATTCCGGCGGTTTCGATGCATTGTAGATTAACTGATTCTTCTCGGGCCCGTAATCGAATTGGCAAAATTTACCTGATTGGACTTCCTGCAAGTAGTGCACCAGTGTTTTGATCGAGCTGCCAGCCGGAAAGTGACTCAGAATTGTAGGTAATAGAGCCTAGGAAGCAGTATAACATCCGATTTGAAGTGTGATCGCGTGTGCAAAACGTGACATTCGAATCACTGATCAAAGTTGCATTTTGATCACGG